CCCAGTGCCCCTGGGCCAGAGGGCGTTAGAGCAGGTGAGCAGGGAAGGGAGGCTGAGGCAGGAGGATCGCAAGTCCCAGGCCAGCCTGGGCAGTTTATGGAGACCTTGTCTCAAAATAAAAAATAAAAAAGAGCTGGGGGTGTAGCTTAGTGTGAAGCCCCTGGATTCAATCCCCAGTAGCACAAAAAGAGGGGGAGAGAAAGGGGAGACATTAAGCTGGGGTGTCGCTGACCGGGCAGGCTGCTGCTGAGGCAGGACCAGGACCTTCTGCTCAGGAATTTGATCAGACTCCGCCCGAGTGAGCAGGAATCTGCCACAGTGGGGTTGGGCAGGCTGGCCATGGGACAGCAGGAGGCTGGGGGCTGTCAGGGTGGTGGGAGGGGCTCCTGGGCCCTGCTGGAGGCAGCGGCACAGTGGCAGCCTCTGAAGGCCCCCAGGCCACCCCCACTGCCAGCCCTCCAAGCGGCTCAGCGGTTGGGCCTTCCTGCCGGGAGACCTCGGAGCCGCTGGTAGGCGCCTTTTATCTGTATTGTTTTTAATAGCCTTTTAGGATCCCTCAAGTAGGGCAAACCGCAGTGGCAGAGAGGTTAGAAGGGGCCAGGCATGGTGGCACACGCCTGTCATCCCAGCACTCAGGAGGCTGAGACAGGAGGATCACTGAGAGTTCAAGGCCAGCTTGGGCTACACAGTGAGACCCTGTCTCAAAAAAGAAAGAAAAAAAAAAGAAGGGCTACAGGGATAAAGAGGGGGACCCACCCTCCTGGACTCCAGGGTCTGGTGGAGTCCGGGCACTAGGCATGTCCCCTCCCCATGCCCAGGGGTCCATCCTGGCCAGGCGTCCTGGGGTCATGGGCCAAGTCTTGTTCCTCAAACTCTCTGCTTCCATGCTGCAAAGGAAGCCTAGGAGGCAGCTTCAAGGGGAGGAGCTTGAGGGGCTGGGTCCCTTCCTCCTGCTTCTGGAGGGGTGGAGCCACACTGCTTGGTGATATTGTCCCCGCTCTGTCCTGCGCTGTGTCCTCCGGCACGGCTGCTGGAGCAGCCCTGGGGGCTGGCCAGAGGCCAGTAGACCCAAGGTCCTGCCAGGATACGCCCAGGGGTCGCGTCAGCTGGAAATGTCACCTGGGGCGAACCGGGGCCTCAGGCTGACCAGCAGGGCAGGGACAGGTGATGCCTGCCGGCTCTGAGCCTCAGGGTCCTCATCTGTGGGATTGTTGGGCCCATGTGGTGACGGAACAGGGACATGTGGATAGCTGAGCACAGCCGGGCACCGGGCTGTCTCGTAGCCTGCTCCAGGGCCCACAGGCACTGCCCAGGCCTGCCTCCCTTTGGACATCTGGCCTCCTCTGTCACTCAGGCCTGCTTGGCCTCTCAGTAGCCTGTGTGTCTCTGTCCATCCTGGTCCCTGTGGTCTGGGAGGATTCTCCCACAATCCTCTCCTCCAGTGATGGCGGGATGAGTGGAATCTCCCCATGGGTCGCAGCTGGCAGTTCAGAAATCAGTTGCTCTTCTGACCATCGGGACCCTTCATAGTCCATCTTCTGTCCCCACCTGTGATGAAGCCCAGGCTGTGGGAACTTTTGAATGACTTCTGCTCTCTGAGCCTGTTTCCCCATCTTTATTTATTTATTTATTTTTATTTATATATTTATTGGTACATTTTAGGTATACAATACATTTACATTTATCACTGGGTGTTTGTACCTGTACATGATGTATCTTAGTTTTTATTTTTCCCCCATTACCTATGTCCCCTTCACCCCTTCCACCCTTCCCTATTCACATAGACTTTGTTTCCATTTTTTTTTCTTTCTCATAATTTTTCCTTTCCTTTCTTCCCTTTCCCCTTCCCTCCCGCCACCCCTACACCTTTGGACTTTTTCCTATTTCAGACTATCAATTATTTGTTTTAATCATTTTCATCCTTACTTACACTTTCAGTTTCTCACATTAGAGATACTATTCGGTATTTACACATGTGTGTCCTATTTATTTCACTTAAGAGTATGGCCTCAATATGCATCCATTTAGCTATAAATGACTCTAGTTT